GGAAGTGGCGCTGTAGCTCAAGTGGTAGAGCGCTAGCCTTGAGCTGAAGAGCTGAGGGACAGCGCCCAGGCCCAGAGTTCAGGCCCCACAACCAGACCCCCCCCCCGCAAAAAAAAAAATTTCCTTTGAGTTTAAGAGAGCCTTTGTTTGTTTACTGTTTATAAGACAGGGTCTTCCAATCTAGTTCATACTGGCCTCAAATTTGTGACTTTTCTGCCTCAGTCTCCTCAGTTTTGGAATTACAGGCATGTACTGCCACACTCAACTCAAACAGAATCTTCAGAACATCCCTACTAAGTCATGACAATTGTCCACTAACAGTGAAGCCAAGGTAAAACCTTGTTATCACAAAAAAGGTTATTAAAATTCAGTAGATTCTGTGAAATGTTACATTACAATCACATTAGAACAATTTAAAAATTGGTTCATGATCATGGTAGATCTCAAAGGAATAAAATCTTGGATTACAGACAAGATAAGAAAATTCAGCCTTGAACAGGCCAGTGATAAGTATGATTATGTATAAAACTTGGGAACCTTACTTGGAAACACTTAGCCCAGGGGACTAAGGTCAATAGGAAATACAGCAATAGTCACCCAAGGCTACATTATAAACATTCTAAACCCAGTATTCTTCATGTAATTAATTAAACATATGGCCAATTTGCAGTTATAAGAAAATATGTTACAGAAATAACAATTGAAAAAGTATTTTAACTCAAGTATTTACTAAGCATTTATCAAGTAAATTCTGGAATTCAGAGATGCAATGTATTGCCTTCATCCAACAAGACCATAGAATGGTTGATGACATTCATTCCCCCATCTCATCTCCATCATAAGAAACCTCAATGAGAATTTCATTTCCAGTTTTTATGCCTACTTTTCTCTCCTTTATATCTTACAAGTTAAAAGTAGTCTAAAACTTAGCCAGGTGACAGTGGCTCATGCCTGCAATCCTACCTTCAGGAAGCTGAGATCTGAGGGCCACAGTTCAAAGCTAGCTTGACTAGTGAAGTCCATGAGATTCTCATCTCCAATTAATTCCCTCTTCTCCCTTCCCCCAAAAAAGCTGGATGTAAAGTTGTGGCTCAAGTTGTAGAATACCAGCCTCAAGCTCAGAAATAGTGCCCAGACCCTGAGTTTAAGCCCCAGAACCCATATATACACACACAAAATAAGTCTAAAAGTTTACCAAAAATCATAAATAAAAGGTACACTAATAAAAGAAGTACAGGTCTCAAGTAAGAAAAATTCACAAGCCGGATAATAATTAACATCCTGTAGAAAGGAGTTGTTAACAATAAGTACAAAAAATATTTAAATAGTGTTACAAAATGAATGTGATATTCAGCAGTGAATTAACTTAGGAAAGAAAACAAGGAAGTATCTTAATCAAGGATGAATTGCAGAAAAACGGTTTTTATTTCTTAGAATTATTTTTCTCTACATTAATAAAAACAGACCTCCTCTTAAAAATGTTTATTATATCTGAGAAGACTATGCTAGTGGGAAGGGAAGTATTCTTGATTAGAAAACAAAATTAATTCCTAGCTTTCACTTTCATGTTCATACAGTTGACAAATGTGGTATAAGCATGGGACTTGAAAATTGTGTTGTGTTTTGCAACTGTAAACAGCTTTGGCAAGAGAAGGTAGAAAAAAAAGACAAATGAACGTCCACTGAATACCAAGCAGACAATTTAGAATAAGATCAGCTGTTGGTACAGATGTGAGGGGACATAACTTTGGGTCTTTAGGGTTTTTATCAGCAGGTCTATTTTCTTGGTTTCATAGAGAAATTAATACAGAAACCTTGAAACAGATTTGCTAGTTTACCTAGCCTTTTATAAACTTTATTATATACTTTCCTATTTCATAAAAATGTATTAGTAAGGCCTAAAAATATTTTCTTTGGTGCAAATCATGTTATTTGCCCTCACAATAGCACCTACTTGGAGTATTTAAAATATATTTAGTATTTCAGGTCTTGTTACATAAGACTTCCCTCTTTCATATTTTCATTCATTCCTTCAATACAAATACATTTGTTAAGTAAGTCTCAAATGGATTATAAGTATGTGTCAGTTATATTCCAAACTTGTCCTCAGGAAGAGGCTTCCCAAAAGTCCAGTTCAAATAATCACACTTGGCAGAGCTGCTATATGGGGAAAATGGCTAGACAATTTATGTTCACTGGATTTAAAAAAGAAAAAAATAAACATGGAAGTCTCCTTGAATTATTGAAGGTCTTACCCTCGTTTTAGTCTAATAATGGAGTAGGTTTCTAGGGAAGTGTTCTTAAATTGATTAGTCTTAGAAAATTTCTCAAGTATGTATGAGGAATGCTAAACATTTTCTTAGGAAAAGCAGATGGTCATATGTATGTATATGTCTACATATATGACTCTGTGTGTGTGTGTGTGTGTGTGTGTGTGTGTGTGTGTGTGTGTATGACTATAAAGCCGTGTATCAGTCCAAATTTGAGGTCACTTTTTTGTGTCTGGGTACACCATAGGCAAGTGCTTTACTACTTGCATCATTCCTGAATTAGGTTTTATATGTACAATCATGCATTTGTGGGTCCATAAGTCCCTCATTAAAAACAGAAACATGCAGCTAGGAATGTGGCTCAGTGGTACAGTACTTGTCTAGCATGCATGAAACCCTAGGTTTGATTCCTCAGTACTACATACAAAGAAAAAGCCAGAAGTAGTACTGTGTGACTCAAGTAGTAGAGTACTAGCCTTGAGCAAAAGAAGCTCAGAGATACTGCCCAGGTCCTGAGTTCAAGCCTTAGGACTGGCCAAAAAAAAAAAAAAACACAGAAACATGCATAACAGATACATTGTTCAGTACATTTTTCTTCTTTACAATATGCCTTCAACACCATTCCTCTTTACATGTATTCATTTCAGCATATAAAATATTCTTTATTCTTTTCTATTTTCAGATATTCTACAATTTAGTTGTGTAGTCTTTTAACGAGATATGTTTTTATTATATTTTGATACTATTACTTTCCCTCATTCTCAGTAATAAGTTCCCTGAGTACAAGGACAACATATGCTCTCTTGACTAGGGCACATCTAGATTCTAGCACACGACTGACAAAGACTGTCGTAGCAGAGAGTCGAGGGGCTTTTGGGAGGAGGAGGGGAGTAGCTGCTCTCCCGAACTCTGCCAAGGTGGGGACAGAGCTGGTCTTCTGATCTGGAGAAAGGCTCTGCTACCCTGATTATGAACTCTATAATAGAGTATATAGCTTTTGTACCTTTTTTGCAGGAAGGTGACTTTCTGTAATCGTGATGTATATTGAACTTTTTATAAAAGTTAACATTTCACATAATAAACGATTTTTTAAACACTTTGTATATGGTCTCATCAAGCAGTTTTCCATTCCTTAAGTGGCAGCTGTCTTTTTCACATGGTTGACTCCTGGGGAAGAGCAAACTTGCTTATTATAGACTGACAAGCCTGTGATTCTGTTGTATAGTGTCTAAAGGAAATTTAAAGCTATGCCATTCAAAAAATCCTGTTATCTACCAGACAATGATTGAACTGCTATGAGGTTTATGCTTTTTTTGGTTTTGTTTTATTTTGCTTTTACCTTGTATCCAATCTTCTTTCAAACTCTAATGTGCTTTCAAAAATTGTGAAATCAAGCCAGGTGGTGGTGGCTCACACCTGTAATCCTAGCTACTCAGGAGGCTGAGATCTGAGGATCACAGTTTAAAGCCAATCCCAGCAGGGAAGTCTGTGAGACTCTTATCTCCAATAAACCACCATAAAACCAGAAGTGGCACTGTGGCTTAAGTGGTAGAGAGCTTGCCTTGAGCTGAAGAGCTGAGGGACAGCACCCAGGCCCAGAGTTCAAGCCCCATGACCGACCAAAAAAAAAAAAAAAAGTGTAATCAACGGTGTTATATCATTCTAAGAAAGGGTCCTTAACTTGATATGAATGTGTCAATGTATTTTACTAAGTAAATGCCTATTTCTTGTATTGCAATATTGCAGTTATAGAAAGAAGGAAGGAGAGGAGAGGGAAGGGAAAGGGAGGAGAGGGGAGGAGAAAGGAGAAGAGAGGAGAGGAAGAAAGATTTTTAAGTTTGATTTGCAACTTTAGTAGACCTAATAGTGACACCTACTGGAAATAATGTTAAAAGTTGAACTATTAAAAAATTTTTTGACGATTTTCTTTTCATCAGGAGGAAATTTGTTATTTCATCATAAAAGTATATATAATTAAATGAAGTCTATATAGGGTGTTTGATGTTCTTAAAATTTGTAAATGAAAATACATTTTCTCTTTGTAGGATAAAGTCATTTTGGGAACTGATTACCCCTTTCCACTAGGTGAGCTAGAACCTGGGAAACTGATAGAGTCCATGGAAGAATTTGATGAAGAAACAAAGGTATGTATGTCATCTTCTTCTTCCTGAGTCTTGCTGTTCTAATTGAGTTTGGTTTCTGAGCATTTTGACAAATGGTAACAAATACAGAGCAGCTGTTACATTAACTATGACTAGAACTATCACTAGATCTTCAGAAATGGCTGTTAAAGGACAAAAGAAAATCAGCCTAGCTGGTAGCTCACGCCTGTAATCCTAGCTATTCAGATCTGAGGATCGAGGTTCAAAGCCAGCCCGGGCAGGAAAGTCCGTGAAACTCCTATCTTCAATACACCATCAGTAAACCGGAAGTGGCGTTGTAGCTCAAGTGGTAGAGTGCTAGCTAGCCTTGAGCTGAAGAGCTGAAGAGCCCAGGCCCAGAGTTCAGACCCCACGACCTACGAAAAGAAAATCAGCCTAGTACAGCTAAATTAATAAAACCAAGAAAGAGAACTGTAAAGATGTAAATCAGCCTCGTACAGCTAAATTCATAAAACCAAGAAAGAAAACTGTAAAGATAAAAATCAGCCTAGTACAGCTAAATTCATAAAACCAAGAAAAAACTGCAAACAAGCATCCCATAATAACATAATTTTTTTAAAATAGCATAAATTTACACGTTAAATGGGTCATAAGAAAAGTATCTGTTTTTCCTTGAATATTCCTGTTACAAATCTATCCATCTCAAAATTTGCAATGGCTCTAGTTATTCTGGATATTGAGACCAAAGTTTCTTTCAAGAACAAGCAGCCAAGGATTCAGAGCACTCTAGAAACTTTTTTTTAGTCAGTCCTGGGCCTTGAATTCAGGCACTGTCCATGAATATTTGTGCTCATGGCTAATGCTCAACCACTTTGAGCCAAAGCACCATCTCCAATTTTCTGCTGGGAAATTAAGAGAAAATTGTCTCATGGACTTTCCTATCCAGGCTGGCTTCAAATAGTGATCCTCAGATCTGACTCTCCTGAGTAGCTAGGATTATACATGTGAACCATCAGTGCCTGACTTAAATAAATTTTAACATGTATTTTTAAATGTATTATTTTCATTTTTTATTGTCATTATAAAGGTGATATACAGAGGGGTTATAGTTACATAAGTCAGATAAAGAGTACATTTTTTTTAACAATGTCACCCCCTTCCCTCGCTTAAATGTATTTTTTTGTGGATAAATGTTACTAAAATGTGTCATTTTGCTATCATTACCTAAACTACCCTTTTAGCTCCTGGACCAAAATGAGTTTACAGTGAATGTTCTCATATGTCTTCCCCTTTGCCATCTCCTCCTGCACCTAATCCCCTAAAATTACTATTTCCCCCCTAAGGCCTTTAAAACCAATCACTACCAGGGGTCAAGAATGGTCACATACGAATATTCTTTAAAATCTTACAAAAGATTTTTTAAGTCACAATTCTTTTTTGCATACTTATTTTCTTCCTAGAGTAGAACCCCAAAGTTTCATTTTGTTTTTTTTAATGTCTATTCCTATCTGTTAAATAGCTATTCAAGCCAGGCACTGATGGCTCATGCCTGTAATCCTAGGTACTCAGGAAGCTGAGATCTAAGACTGTGTTTCAAAGCCAGCCCAGGCAGGAAAGTCCATGACATCTCCAATAAATTACAAAAAAAAAAAAAAAAAAGCCAGAAGTGGAGCTGTGGCTCAAGTGGTAGAGTGCTAGTTTTGAGCAAAAGAAGCCAAGGGACCATGCCTAAGCCTTGAGTTCAAACCCCAGGAGCAGGAGAGATATAGCCATTCAACCCAGATGCTGGTGGCTCATGCCTGTAATCCTAGCTACTCAGGAGGCTGAAATTTGAAGATCAGGTTCTAGGATCAGATTTGTCAGCCCAGCAGACAAATCCGAGAGACTCTATATGGAGTTGTGACTTAAGTGGTAGAACACCAGCTTTGAATGCAATAGTTAAACAAGAATGTGAGGCCCTGAGTTCAAGCCCCAGTGAAAGAGAGAGAGAGAGAAACAAAACAGAATAAGGAAAAGAAGGAAGGACAGGAAGGAGGGGAGAGAGCAATGGAGGCCAGGGGAAGGCAAGGGAAAGGCATACCATTCAAATCTTCTGAATGGCCTAGCGACAGCCCAGGCAAAAGTTTAAAAGTCCTTATCTCAAAAACAAGCCAGGACTTTTTTGCTGTTTGTGGTGGTGGTTATGGGGCTTGAACTCAGGGCTCAGGAACTTTTTCCATTAAAGGCTAGTGCTCTACCACTTTGAGCCACAACACCACTTTGGCTTTTCTGATGGTTCAATGGAGATAAGAGTCTCAAATACTTTCCTACCCAGGCTGGCTTCAAACTCTGACCCTCAGATCTTAACCTCCTGATTAGCTAGGATATATAGGCATGAGTCACTGGTACAGGGCACAAGCAAGAAATTGACCTGGTACTCAAAGCCTGTAATCTTTGCTACTCAGGAGGATAAAATAGGACAATTGCAGTCCAAGGCAAAAGTCCAGCCAAGGCAAAAGTATGAGACTTTATCTAAAAGCAAACTAAAGTAAAAAGGGGTGGAGCTATGACTCAACTGGTAGAGGACTTGCAGTACTGCCAAAAAAAAAATATAAACACATTATCACAATTTCACAATCCACTAGTAGACACTACACTAATCCATTTGTGTAAAATAATAGCATTGGAACCAAAGATAAATATTTTCTTATACATGTATAAAATATCTCTGGAAGAATAACTGATAAATTTGGGAAGAAAAAGTGGAATTTGGGTGGCAGTAGTGAAAGAATGTATCTGTTTTATACCTCTTGAATTTTGAACCATAAGAAGGTAAACACCCTACAAAAATTTAAGCTATAATATCAACTCCATTTGATGAGTACAAAAACATTGTGAAGATTCATTCTACCATCAAGATGTAGAGAAGGAAAACAAAGACTTAGCTGTTAAATTTGTTAAAAGAGACAAAAGGGTTGAGTTACATTACACAGAAGCAACTCCAAAACCCTGTACTTCAGGATCAGGTCTCTATCTAACACACCAAAAGGTATCACCTTCAAAAGGTACACAGTATCAACATATTTTAAAAAGTAATGGTTTTTCCAAGCAGTTACCATCACTTCTAAAATGTTCTCTGAAGAGAATGGCCCCAGTGTGTTTTGTGGGAAGAATACTAACAGATCTCTGCTGTGAGTCTCCACGTTTCAAAGCTATGTAAGAATCCTGAAGCAATTATGACATACAGATAGATACATGAATGGTATGAATGTTACACAACTTCATACATGTTTCCTTCTACCATCATCTACCTGTCTATCTTTACAGACTAGACACAGATCAGTTAGGATATTACAAAGCTTCCTATCAAATCACTTCTTTCTATAGAGTTAATATAGTTGATAAAAGTAGAGTGGATAGAGAAAAATTAGGAGTTCTTCATGAAATTTATGAAATGTACAGATTTGTACCCAACCCGAGACTCATGTTATTACTTCTCTTGCTATGAAAGAGCTTATCTTTTACTGATGGCCATAAGGATAAGGCATGAAAGCCAGAGAATGGCTACATTGCTGGTTCCAGCCTTGTTGTCCTATAGAATTAAACATCTTTTTTCTGTATTTGCTTCCAAGCACTCCCTAAGACCTACTAGACAGTTCACTGATGATATTCAAAGAAGAGCACTTTCCTAGGAAGTCTCTTCCCTTTATAAGCACCTTTCTTTTCTTCTATAATTAAGCTTCAGACTTCAAATGGTAGGGGAGCAGGGTTCAAAGCCATATAGAGTGGTACATACCTGAAATCCCAACCCCAAGAAGGCTGAGGTATGAGGATGTTAAGTTCAAGGCCACTCTTGGTTACATAATGACTTTGAGGACAGCATGGTAAAACTCAAAAAAAAAGCACAAAAATCATCATTAGTCTAAAGAGTTTTAGTAATAACCTACTAATATGTTTGTCTCATACTGGAGAGGTTTTAAAAAAAAAACACCTGAAGACATTCAATAACGTACTTTAAAGCAATCAATAATGAGCTAGGCACCAATAACTCACACCTGTAATCCTAGCTACTAAGAGGATGAGATCTGAGTAGCCAGCCCAGCTAGTAAGGTCCATGAGACTCATTTCTAATAAAACACCAAAAAGTGGAGCTGTGGCTCAAGTGGAAAGTGCTGGCCCTGAATAAAAAAGCTAAAGGGCCCAGGCCCTTGGCTGAAACCCCAAGACCAGTACTAAAAAATACATTCACTAGTAATAGTAATAATAAAGTAATAAACACTTCTTTCTCTCTTTTTTAGGAAAAACTCAAAGCTGGTAATGCACTGGCATTTTTGGGTCTTGAGAAAAAACAATTTGAATGAATTCAGTATAAAAACAAAACTTCATGAAGATAAATGTGTGTCATATATGCATTACTAAAACCCTATTTGAACCACTTTTCCCAGAAATAGAATATACCTAAGTATCCTAAATTGTTCATAATAGGCATGATTCACATTGCTATTCTGAAAAGCAGTACATTATCTCATATGCAAATCAAAAAATATTGTCCAGTTCCTCCTCAATTACTCTGGAAAACTGTTAAATGAAATTACGTAACTGCATGAAATAAACTACATTTCTATAAGTTAAAAAAATTACTCTGGAAAACTAAAAATGTTATTAATGGTTTATATAAGGGTTCACTTTATAGGACTCACGGATGTTTTCCTTTTATCAAGGACATTGGAATGGACCTGAAAAACTTGTTTTTTCCACTCAGAGCTTTTTTCATTAGCTCAATATTAGTGAATATTTTGCATGATAAATGCAGCCCATACATAGGAAACCCATAATCTCAAAGAGCTTATAATCCAATTAAAGAAGCAAAAGTACATGAGAAAATTACTGAACAAGGAAGTAGTGCTGTGGTCAAGTGGTAGAGTGCTAGCCTTGAACTGAAGAGCTGAGCGACAGCGCTCAGGCCCAGAGTTCAAGCCCCATGACAACCCCCCCCCCCCGCCCCGCAAAAAAAAAGTAAATTGAAATTACTGAACAATACAACATGAAGACTAAACTCATATTGATCTTGACTAACTGGGCAGATCTTCCCAGAGTCTGGAACTTGAGCTGAGTCTAGGATAGATATGGCTTTCTTTTTTTAGTTTTACAGGATAGGACATAGACAGAAGGGCAAAATTATGGGAACATACCTGTGACTTCAGACTGGATAAAACTAATCCATCCTCTGTGTGTGTGTGTGTGTGTGTTGTTTAGGTTGTGAGGCTTGAACTTGGGGCCTAGGTGCTGTCCCTGGGCTAGTACTCTACCACTTTAATACACAGCTCCATTTCCAGTTTTCTGGTGGTTAATTGGCAATAAGAGTCTCATGGATTGGGGGGTGGGGGGAGAGGATGGGATGGGAAGGGGAAACAAAGGAGGAGTCTACAATGCTTGATAAGAAATGTACTCATTATCTTGCCCATGTAATTGTAACCCCTCTGTACAGTATTTTCACAATAATAAAAAAAAATTATCACTTGAAAAAAAAAAAGAGTCTCATGGACTTCCCTGATTGGGTTAGCTTTGAATTGTGGTCCCCAGATCTCAGCCTCCTGAGTAGCTGGGATTACAGGTGTGAGCCACCAATGCCAGACAACTTATCCATTCTTGCCATTATAGTTTTAGTCTACAAATGTACTTTACCAGAAGCTCTTTTAATTTAAAATACTGAGCACGATATAGGAAGCTAGCTGTGAAGAATGATCTGAGCAATTCAGGTTGCTTTGTCTAGTGACTTTATGACTTCATTCCACCTGAGCTGCTACAAAGGCACTTGTATATGAGACAGGTAATGAACATCTGTAGTTCATATACCTCTGGCTGCATTCCAAAATGTACAAGACGTTATGTCAAAAAAAAGAACTTTACAACTTTGGTGGGAGTGAGGGATGGGAAGGGGAAACAAAGGAGGAGACAACAATGCTTGATAAGAAATGTACTCATTACCTAGCTCACGTGGTTGTAACATCTCTGTACAGTATTTTCACAATTAAAAAAAAGTGTTAAAATGGCCACCTACTAGTGGTTCATGCTTGTAATCCTAGCTACTCTAGAGGCTGAAATTTGATCACTGTTCAAAGGCAGCTCACCAAAGTCCTTGAAACTCACACCTGTAATTAACATAAAAACAAACCAAAAACAACCAACAAACAAAAAACTAGAAGTGGATCAGTAGCTCAGATGATAAGAGTATTAATTTTGTGCAAAAAAGCTCAGGGACAGCACCCCCACCCTGAGTTCAAATCTCCAGGACTATCACCAAAAACTGTAGCTTGGTGCTGGTAATCCTGTAATCTTAGCTACTCAGGAGGCTGAGATCTGAGGATTATGGTTCAAAGCCAGCCTGGGCAGGAAAGCCTGTAAGACTCTTATCTCCAATTAAGGATCAGAAAACCGGAAGGGTACTGTGACTCAAGTGGTAGAGCATTCTCCTTGAGCTAAAGAGCTGAGGGACAGCCCTCAGGCCCAGAGTTCAAGCCCCATTACCAAACAAACAAACAAAAATGTTAAATTGTGCAAGTACCATAAGAATCAATTCCCTTAATTTGGGTATAGCAAGAGCCTCATACCGGTAATCCTAACTATTCAGGAGACTGATTCCTGAGGATCGCAATTTGAAGTCAGCAGGGGCAAGAAAGCATATGGGAGTCTTATCTCCAATTAACCACCAAAAAGCAAGAAGTAAAGCAGTGGGTCAAGTGGTAGAGTGCTGGCTTTGACCAAATATGATCAAGGACAGCGCCCACGTCCTGAGGTCAAGCCCTCAGGATTGGCACACAAAAATGAAAAAAAATTTAATAATATAGTTTAGGGTTTACAGCTGAATTCTACAAGGCCTTCAAAGCAGAACTCACACCAATACTCCTCCAATTCTTCAATGAAATTCGAAGTGAAAGTTCAGTACCAAACTCTTTCAATGAAGCCATCATAACCCTGATCCCAAAACCAGGCAGGGACTTATCAAAGAAAGAGAACTATAGACCCATTTATTTGATGAACATCAATGTAAAGCTTCTCAACAGAATTTTGGCCAATCGACTTCAACAATTCATCAAAAAAATCATACACCACAATCAAAGAGTATTCATTTCAGGGATGCAAATCGATTAATATAATTCATCACATCAACAAAAACAAGGATAAGAACCACATGATTATCTCAATGGATGCAGAAAAAAGCATTTAACAAGATCTAACACCCCTTTATGATGAAGGTGCTGGAAAAACTAGGAATCCATGGAACATTACTCAATATAATAAAGGCTGTGTATGACAAACCTACAGCCGGCATTATACTTAATGGTGAAATGCAGGAGCCTGCCGGCAACGAAAGGGAATCCTGAATTAGGGGGCGAGGATGCGGAAAAATAAAGACATAAAACAAAGGATGGGGTCGGCAGCTCAAGACTGCAGCCCCGTTTATTTTTAACTTTCTCTAACATATACTATTAGAAGTCAAGAGGTAACATAAGGTTACAATAATCCAGAAAAACAAGGAAAATTTCAATAAAAACAGAGTGCAGTAAAAACAAGAGAAGGTCAACTGGTAGAAAGCAAAACAAACTCTGCAGACATAGCAAAGCAATCCAGGGCACCTGGTGTTTTCTAAGCAAGCCAGTTCCTTGAATGTGCCTTCAAGTGAGTACCAGGGTCAAGATGACCTTTAAACTTTACTGTCGGCTCCCAACAGTGAAAAGCTAAAGCCATAACTCAGGAATGAGACAAGGATGTACACTCTCTCCACCTCTCTTCAATTTAGTATTAGAATGCCTAACTACAGCAATAAGACAAGATGCAAATGTAAAGGAGATCCAAATAGGGAAAGACGAAGTAAAACTCTCCCTCTTTGCAGATGACCTGATCTTGTATTTAAAGAATCCCATGGACTCCACTCCCAAATTACTTGAGCTGATTTGAAACTTTGGCAAAGTAGCAGGGTATAAAATTAACCCTCAAAAATCAATGGCTTTCTGTATGCCAACAATGAGAAGAGCGTAGTTGAAATCAGGAAAGCAACTCCTTTTGTAATAGCCCCACAAAAAATAAGATACCTAGGAGTGAAGGACCTCTTATGATGAAAACTTTAAAAACCTAAAAAAGGAAATTAAAGCAGAACTTAGGAAGTGGAAAAACCTCCCATGTTCCTGAATTGGGAAAATTAACATTGTAAAAATGGCAATACTTCCAAAGGCTATCTACAAATTCAATACAATACCTATCAATATTCTAACCTCATTCTTCGATGAAACAGAAGAAGCAATCCAAAAATTCATATGGAACAATAAAAGACCCGAATAGAAAAAACAATCCTTAGCAGAAAGAACAGTGCTGGAGCAATATCAATACCAAATTTCAAACTCTACTACAAAGCCATAGTAATCAAAACAGCTTGGTACTGGCACAAGAACAGACCTGAGGACCAATGCAATAGAACTGAAGACCCAGAAATGAATCCACATACCTAATCTTTGATATGGGAGCTTAAAAAAAATAGAATGGAGGAAAGATACCCTCTTCAGTGAATGGTACTGGCAAAATTGGTTTAATAACTGTAGAAAACTAAAGCTAGATCCCTATATATCACCCTCCACCAAAATCAACTCCAAATGGATCAAAGACCTTGAAGTCAAAGTAGACGCCATGAAAATATTACAGGTAGAAATAGGAGAAACTCTAGGGCTCCTTGGCACAGGCCAAAATTTTCTTAATAAAGACCCAGAAACACAACAAATCAAAGATAGGTTGGGCAAGTGAGATTGCATGAAACTGCAGTTTCTGCGAGGCAAAGGACATAGCTAGCAAGATCAACAGAAAGCCCACTGATTGGGAGAAGAGCTTCAATAGCAATACAACAGATAAGGATCTCATATCTAAACTATACTTAAGAACTCAAAAAACTAAATCCCCCAACAACAAATCTTCAAAGAAACAACTGCCTGATAAAAAAGTAGGCTAAAGACTTAAAGATAAACTTCTCTGAAGAGAGACGAATGGCCAAGACACCTAAAGAAATGCTCATCTTCTCTAGCCATTATTGAGATTCCACCTCACCTCAGTTAGAATGGCTATTACCAAGAACTCTAATAACAACAGATGCTGGAGGGGATGTGGCCAAAAGGGAACACTACTGAATTGTTGATGGGAGTGTAAACTTGTTCAGCCACTCTGGAAAGCAGTATGGAGGTTCCTCAAAACACTCCACATAGAGCTCCCCTACACTCAGCAATCCCACTTTTGGGCATTTACCCAAATGATCACAAACATACTAAGGCTACCAGCACAACTATGTTTACTGCAGCATTATTTACCATAGCTAAGATATGGAATCAATCCAGATGCCACTCAGTAGATGAATGGATCAAGAAAATGTGGTATATATACATAATGGAATTCTATACCTCCATCAGAAAGAATGGCATTGCCCCATTTGTTAGGAAATGGAAAGACTTGGAAAAATTATATGAAGTGAAGTAAGCCAAGCCCAAAGAAACATAGGTCCCATGGTTTCCCTTATTTGCAATAACTAGTATAAGTCTAGGACATGCAAAAAAACGTCAAAAGCTATGTACATATGACCATATAAGATGATGTTAAGGGGAATGGGAAGGTGGCTCAGTGGTAGAGTGCCTGCCTTGTGTGCATGAGGCCCTGAGTTCGATTCCTCAGCACCACATAAGCAAAAAGAAAAAAGCCAGAAGTGGCACTGTGGCTCAAGTGGTAGAGCGCTAGTCTTGAGCTGAAGAGCTGAGGGACAGCGCCCAGGCCCAGAGTTCAGGCCCCATGACCGGACCCAAAAAAAAAAAAAAAAGATGATGTTAAGTGAAATGAACCCCTATTTTTTTTAACATATTTAAAATGTATTATGTGGGGTTTTTTTTGTTTCTTTTGTATGTTCTTCCCAGATGGTATAACCCCTGTTTTCACTGTATTTGATATCGGTGCCCTGCATCTTGTATATACATTTTTCAAATTTGGGAAGGGGAAGGGAAATAACAAAATGATGAAATAAGGATACAGGTTGACCCACTGTAACAATGAGATGTACAAGACACTATGTTGAAAAAAACTTGTTCGAGGGGCAGGAGGAGTTGGGCAAGTGGGAAGGGAAGGGATAGTAGGGGAAAAACAAAGGAGATAATAATGCTCAATAGGAAATGTACTTATTACCTAACTCATGTAACTGTAACCCCTCTGTGCAGTATTTTTACAATAAAAAAATGAAAAAAATTAAAAATAAAGTTTATTTTTGAAAACATGTTAAAAAGAGATCAAATTCAACTTGGTCTCTATTCCCCTAAAGAACCTATTTTATCTGTTCTATTTTTTTATCTTTCCTTACAGTTTATGATTATGAGTACTTACATGCATTCTTTTCTTTTTTTATTTCACCCAAAGTTTTAACCTCTGGTGATCATTTTGTACATAAGCTGCCTCTTGGTTTTTAATGGCTGAATACTATGAATGAAAATTACATATTTGTGTTGTAATCATCCATTTCTCAATTTATGGACACTCACATTTCTAATCTTTTCCAATGAGCTGCTACTAAGAATACCCTCATGACATTTTTTTATCTTAAATCTTCTTTGTGAGGTATCCATTCAAGTCGTTTCTCAGTTTTTACTGTGGATTTTTGTTGTTGTTGAATATTGAGGTTTGAACTAAGGACTTGACACTTGCTAGAAAGTTCTACTGCTTGAACCACACTTTGAATCCTTTTTGCTCTATTTTGAGGGGGCAGTACTGGAATTTGAACTCAGTGCCTCAAGATTGTCAGACAATCTACTGCTAAAGTCATGTCTCTAGTCCTTTTTGCCAGGGCTGTGACCCAACTATGATCCTCTTATTTTATGCTTCCCAAAGCTGGGATGAAGACTTGCCTGCCACTTCTTCCTTTTAGATGGAATCTGATGAACTTTTTAGCTTAGGCTGGCCTGGAGCTACAATTCTCTGAATCTCAGCCTCCAGAATACCTAGGATTACAGACATGAGCCACCACACCCAATATGTTCTGGTTATTTTTGATACACTCTTATTTTTTGCCAGGTTGGCTTGGTCTTTAATTCGTTTTATGCTCCCTGCTATAATTGGAATAACAGGCACATACTACTAGACCAAGTTTGTCTTTCGCTTCAAGCCAGCCTTTGAACCATAATCCTTCTGATCTGCCTCCTAAGGATCTAAAATTATAGACTAAAGCCACTAGACCCCAGCCAGTTCTTAGTTTTGAATTATTTGTAAGGAGGAGGAACAGGAATGTATTATTCTGTTAAGTATTTATACAGTATTGGGGTTTGAATTCTTGTCTTTATGCTTACTAGGCAAGAACTCCATCACTTGAATCATGCTCGCAGTCCTTTTTGCTTTTGTTTTTTAGATAGGGTCTCATGCTAACTTGGTCCATGCTGGCCTAGAACCCCATGATTTTCCTATCTAGACCTCCTACTGAGCTGAGATTACAAAGCCCAGGTCCTGAGTAACCCCCCCCCAACCCCCAACAAATGTGGAAAGTATAAGCTATCTAGACATTTTTTCTCAACATTGATATCCAGTTGTTTTAGTACTGCTTGTTGTAAAGACTATCCTTACTTTATTGTATTGCCCTACCTCCTCTGTCAAAGGTTGGGTGATTATTTGTGGGGCTATTTTCTTCCATTGATCAATCCTAACATTCTTAATCCAAAATTTCTTCATGATTCTGTTGGGGTTTGTGTCATTTGCTTTTCCACATAAACTTTAGAATCAATTTGGTAGTAGTAGCTAAAGGGACATACTGAAATTCTGTTTAGATTACATTGACTTAATATACCAAACTGGGAAAAAAATTGTTATCTGACTCTTCTAATCCATAAACCCATAATCATTTTAGATCTTTGACTTAATTTTGTAATATTCTACATTCAGATCTGCATATTAGATCTACATCTATTACTTTGAGGTAGGGACTATAATTGTAAATACATGTGTTTTCAATTTCAATTTCCAACTATTTTTTGCTGACTACACAGGAAAACAACTGACTTTTATATATTTACCTTGTATCTCAAAAATCTAGCTATCACTGTTCATTAGTTACAAGACTGTTATTTGTTTGGACTATTATACACAACATTTGTCATCTATGAACAAGATTTTCTTCCCCCCCTAATCTTTTAATTTCCATTTTTTGTTTTGTACTTACGAAAATTTTCTATTGTACGTAAACAAGTATACTTTGGTTGAGGAAGTTCTCTTTTTCTAGTTTTCAACATAAATGAGTGGTGAATGTAGGTTAAAAATGTTGCTTTGAATCAAATCTGTGGCATTCTAAGTCACAAGCCAGGAGGCAAATAAATGAAATTACCCTAAGCAGCTGTCTAAGGTAACTACTATAATTAAAGTAACATTATAATACAATGGGGGCAGGGAAAAGATTGAGCCAGGAGCCCCAAACAAAAGCCGGGAGTCTCCCGTCTTTTGTAAACCAGTCTTACCTTTCCCGGGTCTTCAGCCTACAGTTACAAATTTAAACATACTTGTTCACTTACAATAGGAGTTGTCTCGGAGCCCACCACCCAACTACTGTGAAACGATGTAGCATCTTCTTCAAGAGAAAATGGATAAATCGACTGGTATGTCACTTTACCAAGTACTAAAGATACAATCTTTACTCAGTTGCACTATTTCCCTCTCATCTTTTTCTTCAACAGCTAAGCGTGGTTTAAAAATAACACACTCCCAGGGTGAACTCGAGACCTCGTTTAGAGATTCTGGTCCTGCAGTTATTTAAGGGCATATTCCTTAGCAAGTTAAAAAAAAAAAACAAAACAGAGGCTGGGAAGATGGCTCAGTGGTAGAGCGCTCGCCTTGCATGCTTTAAGGCCCTGGGTTCGATTCCTCAGCACCACATAGGAAAAAAGCCGGAAGTGGTGCTGTGGCTCAAGTGGTAGAGCGCTAGCCTTGAGCTGAAGAGCTGAGGGACAGCGCCCAGGCCCAGAGTTCAGGCCCCACGACCGGACCCCCCCCCCAAAAAAAAAGAAAAAACAAAAACAGAAACCAAACTCCAGGACCTTTTGAGTTGAGGGTAGAGGACTCAAGCACTATTTCCGATGCACCCGACCCCAGCTAGCTCCATCCCAGTAACTGCAAGAATGCACCGCGCCCCCACCCCACCCCCAGCCAAAAGAGAGCGCCGGGGTCGGTATCTCACGCCGGCCCGAGCAGACACATTCCGAGAGACTAATTTCCAAGCAACCACCCCAAAGCCCCAAGTATCTGGCAGAACATTAGCCTGGAGCCAAAGAGCTCAGAGGCCGTGCCCAGGCCCGGGGCTCAAGTCCAGGCCACGGTCACAGACAGACAGACACACACACACACACACAAGCAGGGGCGGCGTGAGACCCCGATGGGGCACAAGGTTTAAAGCGCCTGCGGACTGTGGTCCCCGGGAGAAACCGCTGAGCCGCGAGCCCATCTCGGCTAGGCCCGAAGCGCGGCCGCCCGGCCGGCCCGTCCACTCCGCTCCCTCCCACCACCCACACCACCAGGCCAGCCGCCTCCCTCCAACACCTTATAGGCCTAGCGAACCTACACCCGGCATGCACCGCGCCGACCTTTTCCTTCCGCGTGACCCCCACCTTCGGCGCCTCCCAATGACAAACAGCGCGGAGCATTGTGGTCTCGTGAGCTCGCGCTGCGACGGGAGGGAGGAAGGGGGGGAGGGGAGGGCAGGAAAAAGAAAGCAAAAGACCGGAGGGGGCCGGTTGTGAAGCCTTCGCGCACGCGCACAGGCGGCGGCGGGCAGGGAAAGGGGGCGGGGCGAAGCCTACGGCGAGCAGAGTGGGGCGGGGTCGCACGGCCTTGGCGGGGAGTCCGCGAGCCGGGAGGGGCGGGGTGTGGGTGAGGGAGCGGGCGGAGGAGGAAGTGTCATGGCGTCGGGCCGTGGAGCTTCTTCTCGTTGGTTCTTCACTCGGGAACAGCTGGAGAACACGCCGAGCCGCCGTTGCGGAATGGAGGCGGACAAAGAGCTCTCGAACCGCCAGCAGGCGGCCAACCTCATCCAGGAGATGGGGCAGCGTCTCAATGTGTATCCTTTGCTCTTTGGGGCCCTCCGCCCCTCAGGTCTGGTCCCCCCCACCCCCAACCCCAGCCCGGTGGCCGGGCCTCGCTGTCCCGGGAACATGGCGCCGCCTCCGCCCCAGCCTCCTCAGGGCCTTGGCCGCGGTGAGGGAGGGAAAGCTGGGGTTCCAGCGGCCGCAGGGCCGGGCGGAGGAGGGGAGAAGACGCGGGAGCCCGGGAATGCGGGCCGAGGAGCTGCGTTGTGTAATCTGTTCCGGCCGGCGCGTGGTGCGGCGGGAATAGGGGCGCCGCCCAGGCCGTGTCGTGGGGGAGGCAGCTTAGACTTTCCGGGGTCGCCGAAGGGGTGGAGAGGGAGGAAGGTTCGCGATCCGGGGCCCCGTTGTTCTCCGAGGCTTGAACCTGCGCTCCCCACCGGCGGCCGGGGAGCGCACTGGAGGTCTTTATGTCCCTGAGTTGGTTTTGTGCGGAGCCGAGCCGCGCCGGTTTCCACTGGTCCGGTGTTGAGTTTCCTCAGTCCCAGGGATCTCCTCACAGCAGTGTTAAAGAGTAAAATGCTCAGAGGTTATTTCTGTTTATTTGGCGTCCGGCCTACTCTTCCTCTCCCCTGACCACCCATCTCCCTGCCCTCCCCCCCCCCCCCCCCCCCCCGCCGGCCCCCCCCCCCCCCGCAGGCTTTCATTTATTTTCAGATCGGGGTTCTGTTTTGAATGAAATTCGGGAGGCTTTGGGGTCAGGAGACCTCCCTCTGCGGGTCAGTAATTTTCCATGGAAATGGTTTTGGACATGAGACGTATTTTCTGATTATTTCCTCAACGTTACATTTCAGCTCTCAGCTTACAATAAACACTGCGATTGTTTATATGCACAGGTTTTATATGCACCATTCTTTCACCAAATTTAGTAGAAATGTAAGTACTATTTTATTGTCTTTTTTATCGCTGCTGAATTTTGTGTAAATCTATACACAGAAAAGTCAGCTGGTGGTTGATTGTGCTGTTCGATTTAGTGTTGTGCGTTAACAATAAAAGTAGATGGCAGGATATACTTTTTCCTTCAAATGCAGAGGACTTTTTTTTTAAATTTATATTGTGAGGCACTATTAGATGCTGCCAATGTTTTTAATAAAAGAAAAAATATTTTTAACCTAAAGAGATAATTTTCTTTAACGTTTATGATTTTCATTATTTAAAGTTTATGCTTTATGCTGGAATTTCAGTAATGACAGTGTAGTTAAGCTAACCTATTCAGTGAAAGAGCTTAATTTTGTTCGTCTCTTTGTTTCAAATATGAATTAGGATTAAGATAGTTACATTAATGTAACTAATGTCACTTTGAACATTTACTGTTAAGGAAATATTTCATTTGCTAACACCATATTCTTAAGATTTCATAGTTTCTGTTTGTGTCAAACAGCGTTAGTTCTTTAGTTGTTAGGATTTTAAATATCACCTCTTGCTGGGCACAGGTTGCTCATGCCTGTAAAACTAGTTACTTAGGAGACTGATATCTGTAGATGAATCAGAGCAGAAAAGTCCATGAGACTCTCTTACTTCCAATGAAACAGCAGAAAGCTAGAAGTGGAGCTGTGGCTCAAGTGGTAGAGTACCATCCTTGAACAAATAAAAGGTCACTTCTTATATCCTATGTCAGGAGTATGTTTATGTATATTAATTTTTATGTAAAATGTTACTGGTACTGATTTCAAATCAGTAAATCTTGACAAACTGTTCAGTTTAAAATTTTTAACATCTGAAAGTTATGTCTTTTCAGAATACTGTGTTAAATTTGTTAGCCCACCCAAAAATGTAAACTTAGAAACATTTAACCCTGCTCCCTCAATATCTATATTTGCTTTTTTAATTCAGTTTTCATAATGTTATTTTGAAAAGTGTTAGAAGAAAAATGGATCAAAAAGATCTTATGTTAAATGTGGATAGTCATTATATGGTTTCATTTGCTAAGAAAATGGCATTAGAAAAGTTCCTATTTATAATGTTCTTGAAGTATGTTTCCTGGTTTAGGCTCTTCTAATCATGTTTAATTTGGATTGTCAAATTATACACACACACACACATTTCATATAAAATTAAGTATCTTTTAGTCCCCTTTCCACTCTTTCTCTTAGATCTATGTAATTGTTGCTCTTTTGTTTCATAGTTATTTCTTATGCATAGTACTTGAGTCAGTGGTAGTTGTGAAGCAGAAAGGTAGTGGTTTTTTCTTAAATGGTCCTGGTAGTAATTACAAGCCTCCGGCTGGCAAGGTGGCTCAGTGGTAGAGTGCTTACCTTGCATGCATGAGGCCCTAGGTTCGATTCCTCAGCACCACAAAAGCAGAAAATCCGGGAAGTGGTGCTGTGGCTCAAGTGGTAGAGGGCTAGCCTTGAGCTGAAGACCTCAGGGATGGCACCCAGGCCCAGAGTTCAGGCCCCACAACTGACCAAAAAAAAAAAAAAGGAAATTATAAGCCTTAATAGTCCTGTTTATACCCAGGGCTGGTAGCTCATTTAATCCTAGATACTCAAGAGGCTGAGGTCTGAGCATGTTGGTTTGAAGCCAGCCTGGGCAAGAAAGTATGAGACTCTTACCTCTTAACCACCAAAAAACTGGAGGTAGAGCTGCCGCTCAAGTGGTAGAGAGCCACCTTAAGCAAAAAAGCTCAAGTATAGTGACCAGATCCTGAGTTCAACCCCTTAGTATGGCACTACACATAATAGTGTTTTGTGTGTGTCCTTTTTTCATTCGTATTTTGGGGATCACACTGAGCATTTGCTAAGCTGTATCCCCAGCCCTGGAAATGCTTTATATGGCTATAAATCTCCCACTCTTTTGCGGGGGGGCTGTCTTTCCTCATAAATTTGTTTTTATGTTCTAATTGTTGTGTTTTAAATAAATACTTTGCTTAAAGCCAGAATTCACAACTTTTAGCTAATGAGGTCCAAGTGAGATCTAATTGTTGTCTTTTTGCCTCTATTACTATATCCAAATGGTTTTAATATTTGTGTTGGTGGGCTGGAAAGTGGCTCAGTGGTAGAGTGCTTGCCTGCTTGCATGAGGCTCTGGGTTTGATTCCTCAGCACCACATAAGCAGAAAAGGCTGGAAGTGGCACTGTGGCTCAAGCGGTAGAGCTCTCACTGTGAGCTAAAGAGCTGAGGGACAGCACCCAGGCCCAGAGTTCAGGCTCCATGACCGACAAAAAAATATATTTGTGTTGGTGTACTTGCATCAATTACAAGACCTTGCTATTTTAACTTCCTATTTCTGTATATGAAGGGATGATCTTGAATGTGAGTCACATTTAATCATGTTCTCCCACATCTTTGGGAAATTTTTTTCTTGAAGTGTTATCATTGAATGCCATACTAAGAAAAATCGTGAGTTCATTACAAACTGAACACTGGTAAATTAAGCCATATAGAATAACAAGCTTAAATGTTAAGTGGTAGGACAAAAGACAAAGCCTATCAAGTTTTAAATGTCACGTATTAAAGTATTTAAAAATACTTGTCATTCATTACTCTGCAAGGATGACAAATTTAAAAGTAAAGAAAAAGAACTGTAGAAGTAAAGTAGTAATTTAAGGATAAAATCATTATCCACATGTTTTAGTGACCCCCAAAACCTTTTTATCATTCCTTTTGTCAGTATCTTGGAGAGTTGAATCATTATTGATAGTAAGTATTTAAATATAGTGTTTAAAATGTAGCCTAATTAGATAATTGTATCCTCTGTTATATGCATAAATGTTTCTGTAAATTAAGCTTGAAATTAAAGAATGGCCTTCTAGATCAAGCTCAAAATAAAACTTGTGTAAAATTTCTGAAGCCAACAGTGCTTCCTGTATAAAGTGAAGTTGAGCATCCTCTCCTGTATTGTCATTAGAGGTATTGATCGAGCTTCTCACATTGATTTGGTTAGGTTTATATTAATTTGTTCCTTATTCCAGTTCCAAGTTGAGTGATTTCTCTTTAGCTGGGCCTCATATAATCTCAGCACTTGGGAGGCTGAAGCCAGAAGATATTGAAGTCCAGCTTGGGCTACATAGTGAGACCCTATCTCCAAAAGAAAAAATAAAGAGGAAGAGGAGGAGTCTGGTTAAATAGAACATGTTAGCTGGGTGCCTGTGGCTCAGGCCTATAATCCTAGCTACCCAGGAAGCTGAGATCTGAGGATCATGGTTTGAAGCCAGCCCAAGAAGGATGTTCTGTGAGACTGGTATCTCCAGTTAACCACCAAAAAGTGGAAAGTTATAAAGTAGCTCAAGTTATAAAGCATTAGCCATGAGCACAAAATCTCAGGGACAATACCCAGGCTCTGGAGTTCAAGCCCCAGAACCAGCCCCTCCTTTCTTCTCCGCCCCCCCGCCCCCCAAAAAAAACCCATGTCCTTTTCTAAGTGTTTTTGATTTTTTTAATTTGTCATGGACTGTTCTCATAGCGTTCCCCAATTGATGTACTTCTCTTTCTTTAATATCATTATCTCTCTTTGCAATCAGAACTACTTATATTCTGCTCACTTTAAATACTATTGTGTGTTAAGGGAAGTATTTGGGATGGTCTTAAGGAATGACTTATAAAAGTACATCTGTCATATTTGAGTTTGATTTAAACATGTAAATTTGGTTGGTACACTGCTATACATAAACAAATAGATTTGCATTTGCTTGTGCTAAAATTTGAGTCCCATTTCTTCCTCAGTTTTTCTTGATTGACTTAGTTCATTACTAGTATATATTGATGGAAATTTAAAGATTTTTGTTTGCATTCTTCCTCAATGATTTAAAGAAACTCTTTTATCTATTTAGAGAAATGTCCACAATTTCTTTTCTTTGTCAGAAGTTACTTGTTACGAAAGTAATAACAGGATTTTAAGCTCTGAGATACCTGTTTTACTTTTGTATTTTTTTCTTTTCTTTCTTTTTTTTTTGGGGGGGGGGGTCCGGTCGTGGGGCCTGAACTCTGGGTCTGGACACTGTCCCTCAGCTCTTCAGCTCAAGGCTAGTGCTCTACCACTTGAGCCACAGCGCCACTTCCGGCTTTTTTCTTTTTGCTTATGTGGTGCTGAGGAATGGAACCCAGGGCCTCATGCATGCAAGGCAAGCACTCTACCACTGAGCCACCTTCCCAGCCCTTACTTTTGTATTTTTTACTTTAGAATTTTATCCCTGTTATCTAGAAGTGGAATTACTGGATTAAATGACAATTCTATTTAAACTTTTGAGGAGCATACTGTATTTTTAGAAGCAGCCACTATTGTGAATATGCAAGCATTCACCATTTTTTTTTATTTTTACTTTTTTTATCAGTCATTCATGGGGCCTGAACTCTGGGCCTAGGCACTGTCCCTCAGCTCTCTCAAGGCTAGTACTCTACCACTTGAGTTACAGCGCCATTTGCAACTTTTTCTGCTTAATATGGTGCTGTGGAATTGAACCTAGGGCCTCATGCATGCAAGGCAAGCACTCAACCACTGAGCCACCTTCCTAGCCCCCACTCACCATTTTAAAGTAGCAGCCATCCTGATTTGAAGTGGTATCTTACTGTAGTTTTGATTTATATTTCCCTGTATTGACCATCTCTTTTATGTACTTGTCAGCCATTTGTATATCTTTGGATAAATGTCTATTCAAGTTATTTGTCCATTTTTTAATTGAATTGTTTGGGGGTTTTGTTGTTGAGTTGTAAGAGATCTTTGTATATTCTGGTTATTAATTTTACCAGATGCATGATTTACAAATGCTTTCTCCCATTCTGTGCGTTATCATTTTGCTTTATTGAAGTCCAATTTTTTATTTTCTGTACTTTTGGTGTCATTCAAGATACGATCACCAGATCCAGTGTCATGAAGCTTTTTCTCTTATTAGAGTTTATAGTCCTAGATCTTAGCTTAGGTTCATTCCTGTGTAGTT